CGCCTTCCCTCTCCCTCCCACCTTTCCAGCTCACTCTTGCGCAAGCGCAGCACTAGTTGCCTTCCCCTCACCCTCCCTTCCGCACAGCCTTCTGGGAAATGTAGTCTTAGAGGTGGTGCGGTTGCCTGGCGAGTTTGCAGCGAGAGCCCCTGCGAAATGCACGATTGCGGGGTGGAGAAGAGACTAAAGCCCCAGGACCTCCCCTCTTAAACCTTGTGCACATTCTTTGTGCTACCAGCTCACTCTCCCAAGCTCACTGCACACAAACCCAGGTCCCAAACCGCTCTCTGCCCAAGACACCCCTTTAAGCCGTGCCTCTGCCAGCGAGCTGGCGCCCCTTCCCGGGCTGGCGGCCACGAAGCGATTCGCTTCCCAGTAGATCGAATAGGGTAGGTGCAGGGAGGTGGGTGCTGTGAATCAGAAGGGCAAAGGGAGGGGGTCTGTAGGATGTGCTGAAGGACACGGGAGTTGGAGTGGGGGAGGGCCCTCAACTCTTGTGCCTCCTGTGTGGGAAACCCACGCTGCCCTGATGCAGAACGGAGGGTTGGAGTGGCGTTGTCTGGGTTTGGGAGCACCTAGCTGAGCTGACCAAGATCACCTGTCAGGATGACAGAAGGCTATCTCAGAGCCAGAGCCAGCCCCGGAACTGGGGTGGCCCCGAGGCTGCTGGTGTTTGCAGCATATCTGCTGATTCGTCTCTCCTCCTGAGAACTACAATCGATACCCTGTACCGCCTCTTCCCAAACCCTGGCTGGACCCTGACTCCATCCATCACTTTGGCTTCTTTTTCTAACGAATATTTTCCCTGCTGGAAGGGCTGCTACCAGTGCCTCGGCATAGGGAGATTTCTCTGTCATTTCATTTTCTCTGTCATTTCATCTGTCATTTTCCTTGCTAAGGCCTGGAAAATACCTTAATCATCCACCTCTTTCTTATTCTTAGCTGGTAGCATTCCTTCCCACCCTAACACAACCAAGAGACAAAAGCCTGGCCCCCAACCGATCATGTCAGAAAAGAGATACTAATTCTCTTTTCCCTCCTCAACCCCTCACACCTCACCCCATATTAATTCCTACATCAAAGGGGAAAACAAATTGGAAGCAAGTAAGTCAAGGTTTGTGAGTTCAAGACCTCAGATTTTCTTCTCATTTTCACCCAGGAAAAGTTTAAGTACTTCAAGAATAACCTCTGAGGACAGAGATTCTTACCCTGAGAACCATAGATGATTCCCCTAGGATGATTCCCAGGAACCTGGTGACATTGAATGTAATATTGTGCCCGTGTATTTTTCTAGGGAATGTAAATGTAGCATTTGACTGTCAGAAGAGGGACAGAGGTGCAAGTTTGTTCAACAAGAACCTTTATAGTTAATAGGGCAAAGCATGTGGCCCTCAACTCCTGACAGGAAGCTTGTCTAGGTCACAGATGGTAGGGGAGCAAATGGAAACAGTATTGTGGAAGCCATTCTCTCTCACCTTTTGAGTTTGCTCTAAATTTACTAATGAGTCTCGGTTAGTTTGGCCTAATTGGTGCCACCAAAAAAGATGTCACCAGACTAGGGCCTGCCACGAACAACTCCTCAGCCTACAGACTTGGTTGCTGGGGGTTGCAGAGTAGAGAGGAGTGCAGACTTTGTTGCTGGGGGGTGCAGCGTGGGGAGGAGTGGAATGATGTTTTAGTGGTAATGCTGATATTTCTCCAAGAACTTAAAGCAAGGGGAGGGAGAGGAAAAAAATCCCCAGAAGGGTTCCGGTCTTGGCTCCTTCATGGCAAATGCTTGAAGCACTGTTTATTCAAAGGTATGACAAGCACCAGAAAACAACATGCAACATTCTCCCCCAACCCCTGATCTGCAATCCCGGAAGTAGAACACCTATGACCATGATGGTGGTGGGAACTCATGTTCAGGAAAGGTCCTAAGTGGGCACTCTGGCAGGGTCAGAGTTTACCAGGGCAAAGGACAAGTGCCCTGCCAGTTGGACTCCTGCAGCAGCTGAGAAACCAGACACCTTTTCCTACCACAGGCCCCACTAGGTAAAGTGGTACTGCCATCCCTGGTTGCAGGGGACATGAGTCCTATGAGGACAGCCCTGCCCTCAGCATTTGGCCCAGTCCAGCCCTCTGGAGGTAATGAGGTGAAATAGCCTTTCCTCTTAGGGTGGCCATGGAGAGAGGGGCCATAGCCTAAATCAAAGCTCTTCTGGCTGAGAACAAGCCAGCCTCTTGAAGAGGAGAAAGAACCTTCTCTGCTCTAGGGAGAGTTCTGGGCTACGAGTCCTTGGCAGGAGTGCCTACCCACCCACCCCCTTTCCCTAGTTAAAGGGCCAGTTAGTAACTTCAGCCCTCAAATGAGAACACTTTATCCATCACATTTCAGATGAATTATAAATACGTACACAGAATCCAAACACAGTTCCAGTAGAAGCTGCTCACAGACCCTCACAAGGGCCAGCCTGACAAAAAATGAAGGTCACCCCTTTGTTCTGTGTCTCTGGAGCTGTAGGTAAAATTGTCCCCCCTTGTCCTTGAGTAACCATGGGGACAGCATAGGACAGAGAGAGGTTCAGATTTAGAAACACTCTCATCCCATCTCCTATCTTCCTTCCTCAAATCCCTTCCCCCCAAATCTCAAAAACAAAACAGAACACCGAATTTTTCACTGAAGGACTCTGGAGCATTTGAAGATGTAAATCTCACATCCCCTCTCAAGTGGGGAAACTCTGACCCAAAGAAGAAATGATTGGCTTGAAGTCAAAGGTCCTGCCACCTGGGTAGCCCAGTAATGCACACGTTACTGTGGGTGGTGCTTCAGAGGTGAGGAGGTCGGAGGGGTTGACTCAGTCCTGAGGAGAGACTGGCACAGGGCACATTCACCTTTGGGATGATAAGCGGGCTAATCGGCACTGGATTGGAAAATGGCCAGATTCTTCTTCCTTCATTCATCCCTGGGCAGCACTATGGCCAGGGCAGGCCGAAGTGTTTGGAGCTGGGTGGGAGACAGATGGCCCTTATCCAGTCAGCAATGACTCTTTAGGCCCTGGGGTCCAGAGAGGGACTGAAGGAGGTGTCAGGAAGAGGAGACACACCAAAGACAAATATGAAGCTGGGTCCCGAAGTGAAGAAGCACCAATAGCATCGGCCTGCCCTGGACTGGGGTGGGGTGTAGAGGGGCTAGAGCCTGGGAGAAATGAGGAAGCAGGGGAGGAATGGAGGGCAGAGGGAGAGGGCATTTTTTTTTCATGAAGGTGAGAAGGGGAAGTATGAAACTGGGGCCAGAGAAGGAGTAGGGTGGGAAAAAAACAAGCAGAGAGTGAGGAAGAAATGGGCCCATCCATCCCTCCATGTCCTGGGGCTCTGGGGCAACTTAGACTCATGATGGTCCTTCTTTAACCCTTCCAAAGCCCCTATCTGGCTCCACAGGAATGAAAGGAAGGCCTGGACAGACTTCGAAAAGGATCTTGAATGCCTCAGACCCAAGAGGCTGGGGAAGGGAGATGGACAGAGGTTGGAGGTGGGAAGGGCTGAAATGGAGATGCTCCTAGACCCCTCATCTTGTGTCCCAAGTGTGGGACCAAGCCCAAGAAGGACTGGGAGGAAAGTAAGGAGTTTGTTTCTAGGGCAAGTATGAGTTTATAGTGTTGGCGGAAATTGCCCCAGCCTGAAGGGGTGGGAAGACTAAGGGAATAGAAAAAACTGATACCCCAGCAAGTTTCCTGGCTTCAGTTTCTTGAAGTTGCAAATCAGTTGCAATTTATCTGCTCCCCACTGAGTCTAGGCTTCATCTGAGACCCTTTGAAAGGCTATTTTCTTGGCTAGCTCGCCCCCTGGGTTCTCAAGTGATGGGCTCTGTGGGCAAACAGAGGCCAGAGAGTGGGGAACAGACTGAGCTCAGACTAACTGGAGGTCAGTGTAGACACGGGAGCTTGATGACAGCCATTGAAGAGGGGTTGCTAAACCACTGGTGGGCCCTCCATGCAGGGGAGCAGGGAGAAGGCTGCCAGCCAATTCCCCCTCCCCCCACTTTTATTGAAGCTGAACAGATTGATAGAAGTGGCTGCTAGGAACCAGTCTCAGGTCTCCTGACCCCAACCTTGCCTGCAGCAGAGGCTGGTTCTCAGAGGCTGTGAGGGGACAAGTAAGACCCCAAGGAAGATGCCTGAGTCCACGCAGTAGACAAGAAGCACTGAGCTGCTGCCATCCGGGGCTCCAGCAAGAGGAGGGATAGGAAGCCACTGGGAGGGCTGCCCAGGTTTCTGACAGCTGATGCCTGCCCATCCGTTGAAGGTGTCTCAAAGCTCAAAGCCCAGAATGATGGGGGAGGGGAGTTGGAGGAGGAAGAAGAGGGAGGTCCAGGAAGCCGGAGGTGGTTGAAGAGGTGCTGTCCTGTTCGGGAGTAGCTGGGTGGGGGCTGCTTACTGCTTCTCCACTGCTCCCTGTTCAGCTTCGCTCTCCTGGCTGGCACCCTGGCC